TGAATAGTCGAACGAATATCGAAGGATCTAGAACGCTCGAGAAGTACAACGCCATTTATTGTCAGATAGCGGAAACACAGTACTCGGCTTTTGCGGAATATTCTCGACGATTCTAGGGATTTCGTCTCGACTATAAAAGCGTTGCAGAGATAGCACGCAGTCACTCACTAATCGGAACTACTCGAAGCTGAAGTGTTGTAAGTGTTCTAAGTGTTGAATACAGTGTTCACTCGTAATTCGGTAGAATTTTATTTATCCCGAACCCTAGCGCGCAACAATACTAATATTGACCCAAATAAAGTTTTTGCAAAAACACAAAAGACATAACAATTATAATTCTCAGATTTCCAGAAAGTTTTCAAAGGGCGAGAGTGGGCCGTAATCATAATACTCACGCCCATTACTGATCTCATGCTAATGGAGCTTAATATTTACCGTTTCCCTGCGATAAGCTCGTGGGCGGTATCAGTAATGAAATTAATGCAGTGATCTTATTTATGGTCTGTTAAGTTGTATTTTTTATTATCGAAATATCAGCTACGTTCATTGACATCCTGAAGCATCCAACGTACAATCCAGATCTGGAATGAATTCCCTTCCACAATATTCGGAGAATCCTTTTACAAACCTATTTTTATATGAGGTTTGAAGATATTTTTGAGACTTCAGCTTTACTTTGGGCCATGAGACAATTTACATTTGATCACACTAAAAAAATATATTTAAGGGACAGTACATACTCCTTAATAGAATTTAATAATTGCCAAGAAAACCAAATACCAAAAAAATTCGAAAAGATTCCGTTACTACTCGTACATAATTGTATAGTTTGCAGGTTTATGCAATAAAAATGTGTTAAAAATACAGGAGTCCGTTCAAAGCTATCACGAGAGGTATACCGTGCACAAACAAAACACAGCTGCCCTAAATCACTCATACATTAATTACACACCAGGAGCTCATAAATGATTCCGGGAAGAGTTCTAAAACACATCGTCTAATAAATAAACCAATAAACCTAAGGGACTGGGAGCCCTCGAAAACCGGTGCGGAAGTAAAATCTTTACAGTTCCAAACAACCTTGACCGAGTTAGGGAACTGGACGTCTTATGTGACCGTTGCGGTGGGAATTAAAATTTTTATACTTTAGTGTGCATTAAGCAGTATTATCAAGTGACTACAAGTATCATATCCCAGTCAAACGTATCCAGTCAAACAACGGTGGTAGGACCTCTTGTGAGTCCGCACGGGTAGGTGGCGCATTTACATTGTAGATGTCTATGGGCTTCAGTAACCACTTAGCACCAGGTGGGCTGTGAGCTCGTCCACCCATCTAAGCAATAAAAAAAACCATTAGACAAAATACAACTCAATTTATATACGAGGAATATTTAAAGCTGGTTAAGAATAAGTAAAAATCTCACGGCGAGACCGAGGGTCGGTCCCCGTGGTCTTAGCACACCCCCCACAGGCAAAAGAGCTCTAAAAGACGCCAGGGATCGTACTAAAAAGATTTTAATAAAGGTCGATACTAAAAACTCTATTAAAAGGCAGAATTATATAAACATCTGAAGAGCGATTACTCAGTAACCTTCCCTGGTGTATGGATTAGTCCTTCATGCAGCCGTAAAAGACCGGAAGATGCGACGCAATAAAACTGGAGATAAAATAATGCCGGACAATAACATACGTGCGCCCGTGATTGTTCTGTCGGGTTTTCAGGTAAGTTCCATAATATAAAGATTTCTCAAGGATTCTTTAATTCTCCTTGACTAATAGTACTCTTAACATTTTGTAGAGGTTCTAGATGTAGAATATACAATATATCTATCTAGATCCAGATCTAGATCATAATCTAGGTTTGACCACACTTCTTAGTGTAATTTTTATACTTTCGCTAATACAAGAGGACTTCGAGTCAATTTCAAAACAAGCCTCAACGAATATAATACTTCTAGTTTATAGGCGGCCTATTCAGCCTCGAATACGTATCCACTATATTAGCATTACGAAAAATAAATTAAAGGCAAATGATAAGAAAGGTGGTAAGTCCGTAGCCTTCATTTTTATTGTTGTAGCAAAGATGACACTAAAAGTAAGTTTCTGTGTAATATCTAGTCCAAGGTTTAATATTCAGTGAACTGTTGTTGGTAGAGATTTATAATAAGTTCATTAATATTTTGTTTACATATTAATAACATAGGTACTTCTTTTCTACGTTTGTTGTACAAATAACCTATTTTAATGTATATACTTGGACCGAAGAGTGCACGGTTCGCTTGATGCTTTGCAGCTACCGGAATCCAGAGACACTATTGAGTGTACGCCTCCGCCTTGAGACATGAGGTGGGAATCTCGAGTGTATGACGACGGTTCACTCTTCAAACTAGAATACGTGACTAACTGCTTTGCGGCAAAATAATCGTTGGTTGATATCTACCGGCTTGTGGACTCACAATACGTCCTACCACCAGTAAATACAAAAAATTGAGATACCTAACATTTCCGTGCTATTATTACATAATACTACTCTTACATCGTGAAAGTAGTTCACAAATATGTTTTACGATACACGTGGTTGTTAGGTTGAAGTCTCAGTTGCGGTAGATTAAAAGCTAATCCGCTACCACAAGGTGGTCAGCACCGTCAGCATCACAACACTAGGCTCATCCGGTCGGCGGGCTAAGCCAAACTCAAATAGTGGTATCCTTGGGTTAGATGGAATTTTTTTTTTCGTGCCTGGGGCCGAACCTCCTACGAGGTCCCCGCGCCTAGGGGGCGAGCGGGGTATGTGGGACTCAACGATCTACAAGGGATTCACCCAGTCCGAGAGGACCGGGCGGATCGCCTCGACGGTCCGTCGCCCATAGGCGGGGTCCGCCAGTCGGCGAGACCACGCCTCGAGCACGGCATGCCGAGATTGAAGCTTACGCGCTCGAACTTCCGCCGCGCCGGGACGCGGCTCCCCCCTAGAGCGGAGATCGCATCGCCACGCGTAATCCGCAGCGAGCGCCTCCGCTTCCAGGTCCCAGGGAAGATAGATGCCTCAACCAATTTCGAGAATGCCGCATTCAATCCCTCTTTTTATTTTATGACTTGTCTCGTGTTTTTTAATTCTATAGATGTATATTACCTTTTACAGCGCCATCTCTGTAATGATCACAGAACAGTACATATTACTTCTATGCATGTGCTGAATTTGAATTCTCCCTAGTAGAGACATCTATACATATAAGCTGAAACATTTATTATCATTTTAGTCGAAGAAAAGTAACGAATTTGAAAGTCTGATCACACAAAAAAATTTTTTTGCAGATTTATTAATTTTATTATGAAAAAACTCCTATTTTAAAATTAAGTAATATTTAAGTACTGAATCCAAGAAATCGAATGACATGATCGATGATTTCATAAATAAAAGGATTAAGCTCGATGGACTTACTAGTAAAATGATAATAACGTAATAAAATTGTCGGCTTAAAATATATTTTGAAATTTGAAGTTTAAATATTAAACCGTAGTTCAGTTTCAATGGTACCGTAAAATGGGGCGATTAGGGATTGAGAGGCGAATCGGGAAAAAACCGGGAAAATCTTTCGACGCTCAATATTAGTTCTATATTCGTTGCAAAATCTTCCATTTTTTGTAGTTTAATAGTAGAATGTTGAAAGTTTACAAAACAACTCTGAATATGCATGATAATAGCTGCTAACTTATAAAAAATCACGTTTCAAATTAACTTCCTGTGGTGGTAATTATTTTAGTGCTAGAAACTTTGCTCTCTTTTATTTATTTGATAATAATAAAAGACGACTGTGATTTATAAACGTTATTTAGTGTTTGAACCATCATATATATTAAAGGTAAGTCTCAGTTGTTATTGGTTTTAATGTATTTGATAAATTATAAATACATGTAAAAATCTGTTGTTTTTGGGGATATTGGGGACGTCTTAGGTACAAATAACAACGAAAAAAGGGTCAATTGGGATGAGAATACGTGAAATGGAAACGACCTAAGTATAAATAGGTACAGGTTTGTAGGGTTGTCTATGTAACTATAACAATAATTTTTAAATTTGTTGGTAAAAAACTGGTTTAATCATGATGTTTTTGTCTAGAACTTTTATTCAAAATTATCAATGTGTTATTTTATTGTTTGGTAAATATTTATATTATCAGTTACGTATTGTTTTCTATTTTTAGATATGCCTCGCGTGTATGTATCAAAGAGTGCAAAGCCTTATAAGAGATATGATCCCTTAATATTAAAAACAGCAATAGAAGCCTATGAAATTGGGAATAAGTCTTTAGTTGAAATAGCTAAGCAATTTAATATAAGTAAGTCGATTTTGCACAGACATGTAACAAGAACAATGAAATCTCAAGGTGGACAAAAATGTCTAAATAATACATAATAAAATATTTAATATTTGTTCAGAGTGGGGGAGAGGTGACATCTCCCATGTACTTTTTTCAGCTTTTCAATATTTTTTATGCAACTAAATAAATTAATTAAAACCCTACAACCCTAGCAAATTTCTTATTTCGTCCCAATTAACCGCAATTTCCGGGTAAATAGGGATTACACCTATTTTTGCTTTTTTTGCTTAAACTAGAATGCTAGTTGCGTAGTTTTAAATTGGACAACAAAGATGCCCCCAAGACTCAATCATTTTGATCCTGATTTAGCATTATATACATCAACAACTACCTTAAAATTGGTTATAAAGTTGGAATTTGTCCCTAATCGCCCTATTTTACCGGTACAAAGAAAAATTCTGACATTTAACAAATTTGACAACTACTGTAATGTCACAGTGTCATGCGTTATGCGTACGAACTTCAAAGGATACACTAACGACCTCCATTCATCCTTCGTCGTGGTTCGTTCGCGAATTTAATATCATTTTAGACAAAACTAAGATCTTACCTCGCCAATAAACCACCTTGCTGGTTTAGGTGTTGCAAAAATTATTTAACAGTGACATTATATTTAAAATGGCATTAAAATCATCGCCGGCTGTTCTCGGGATGCTCACTCGATTATCCCGTCGCAGTTTTGCCACATCGAAAGCTCTGGCTTCTAAGCCGGTGACTGTAAGAGATGCTTTAAATCAAGCGATCGACGAGGAGATGGAGAGAGACGAGAAAGTCTTCGTTTTGGGAGAGGAAGTCGCTCAATACGATGGTGCCTACAAAGTTACAAGGTAAAACATTCTAACCTATCGTATGTACATAACAGTCGACTATTATATTTACTAGTTATTGCTGAAATTTCAACTTGATTTGCTATTTTAATCTTCTCTGTTATCTCAATTAAGCTCACAATAGATTGTATGTAATCCAAATTCGTTTCATCATTACATAACCCATTCATTTGTTGACAGATTGTCAAGTTCAATGTTATCGTTAGCAAATCGATAGTGCAGTCGATGTACTGTCGATACGACTGCAGTAAACAAACAAACACCCGAATGCAATTTGGCTAACCAATGAAATATAAATCATATAAAATGGATCGAAATTCATTAATACATAATATTTTCAACCTATTTATAGTTTAAAACAATTTCTGTAATTTGTACTAGATAATATCTATCGAATATGCTGGAACAAAATTCTGAAAATCTGAAAAATAAAAATCACATCCAAAAGTAAAAAATATATTTAAGTGTGTGCAGACATTTAACTATCATCATATAAAAGAACACTGTTTCATATAAGATTTTAATGCCATTAATCCTGAAAATTTAGAATGATATCTTCCTTCATACATGGAGATTATGAAAACATTAAATTCTTTAAACAGACAAAATAAAACTTAAATATAAAAGTGTTAATGCTCAGCTTTAATGCCTTCTCTTAATATGAAACAATAGAAACATAGAATACTTAAAGTTTACAACCTTTATATTTTAAGCTCTGAATTATAAACTAAGCCTATCAGTATTTAGCATACCGGTCTCGTCACAGTTAAAGGCCAGATAAGTAACATTAATTAATCTGGGCATGTAACTTTTATTCCAAAAGTATTATTGCATGTGACTTCGAACTATGATCAGATGGGCTTATATCTAAAGTGTACATTGTATTATTCAGTGAACACAGACATCCTACTACTACATTCTCTAACTATCTCTACTACTAACATAAATACATGAATATAAATTCCCTACTGTTTGCACTAAGTTTGCATCTAGTTGGTGACTCATAGGTGAGTTTTAGCTTCCCCAGCATGGTTCTAAATAATGTCAATGCACACTACATGAAGCACTAATCAATCATTAAATAATAAATTTCATGTGATGACAAAAGGTGAACAAGATATGAAAACCAACAAATAATTTTAGGGGTCTATGGAAGAAATATGGTGATAAAAGAGTTATCGACACACCCATCACAGAGGCAGGATTCGCCGGTATAGCTGTTGGAGCTGCTTTTGCAGGGCTCAAGCCTATTTGTGAATTCATGACCTTTAACTTCTCTATGCAAGCTATTGATCATGTGAGTGTCCTGATAAAATTGATAAGTTGTATTTAATGAACAAAATACTCGTAATGTCCATGACACAATTGGTGGTGTTATGTCAAATGTTGACAATGACCAAAAAATCACAAATATAAATAAACGAATATGTAACAAAAGATATAGAAAAGGGATATCCCAATTAGTTTCTCTCTGGAAATGCTCAATGTGTGGTTGTTTTCAGTGAAACACTTGCTATGCGTTTTATTACCAAGCTCTTTCAGGCTAAGTCCAATGACCTCAGCCACCTCAGTCACAGTGGAGGCTGAATAGGCCCTCGAGGCTACTGGCAGATAGGTAGACCAAAAAAATACAAACATAAAACTGCATTATGACAACAATTCTGAAAATTTAAAAGATTAAAACAATGATACGTAATGAATCCCATAAATACATGTTTAAATATAAATCCTTTTGTGTGTCATGTGTTAATAAGAATGTGCTAAACAAAATATGGACGATAGTCATCCATAATTATTAACTTTCTAAATAACTTGAAAAGATTTGTCTGTTGATATTGTCAATGTTAAAAAAGTAAATAAAGGTGCCACAAGGTTACATGTTACAGATTAAAACTTGATTATCCATTTTCTAATGTAATTAAAATTTCTACCTAATATCACGACAACTCTATAATTATTTTATGATGAATCCATAAAATGTGATGGTTTCCACAATCTAAACCCAAGTGGGTCATGATCCACATATACAAACCGAAAAATCCATCTACATTAGTAAAAAAATTCACTTCCAGATAATAAACTCAGCAGCCAAGACCTTCTATATGTCAGCTGGCACGGTACCAGTGCCAATAGTATTCCGAGGCCCTAATGGAGCTGCCTCCGGTGTTGCCGCACAACATTCCCAGTGCTTTGGTGCCTGGTACAGCCACTGTCCGGGCCTTAAAGTTCTTATGCCTTATTCAGCAGAGGATGCTAAAGGTAAGCAGTTCACCTAATTATTTTATGCATAGCCAATGAATCTAAGGGAAATATATAAATTGACAAAATCAAGCTGTGCACATTTGATTATATTTATTTATATATATTCAAAGAATGTCGTTTTTAATACTATCATCATTCATCATTGTGAACAGTACCTCAATAATAATTAAAATATATGACGACAAAGGAGCACAAAATAGTGTATCTAATTGTAAAAAAGTATATAATATTTTTATAAGTACAACTTTGCTAATCTATCCCCATCTCCAGAAATAGTAATCATCCCTAGTTTGTCTTCTAAGTTATTTTGAATAATATATTGAAACCATGTATAATGGACATAACCAGGATGTCACCACTTTAAGATGATAATTTTTTTTGTAGTGAATGTAGAACAGGGGGGACTTGATGTATAAATGTGAATGTGTGTTTGAAGACCACCAATTGATATTCAGTACAGTGTTTCATTTTATACTTTGAGAATCCATATGAGATTGTGACTATAACTTGTTGCTGTTTATTTTGCTGTTATTGACCCTGTTCCCTTGTAGTTTTGAAATAAAACTATATATTGACTTTTGTTGATTGATGGTTCCTCTAACACTCTAACACATATCATAAATAGTCAAAATATTATATTTTTTATATTGGTATTTTAATTTTGCCTTCCTGGTATATTCATTACTTAGAATTTTACTTTTAGGTCTCCTGAAAGCTGCCATCAGGGATCCCGACCCAGTTGTTATGTTGGAAGATGAAATTATGTATGGTATACCATTCCCAATGTCAGATGAAGCCCAGTCCAAAGACTTTGTACTTCCTATTGGTGAGTATACCCACTTATCTGTTGTTGCCGAATAGCTTTTAAAAAGAAACACCAATGGCCTAACTACTCTCATTCTTGATTATTATGGTCGTTCAGATTACTTCTGCCCATTATAAGGCACAATGGCAGTAAAATTGACTAACAGTAAAAATTGAACTATTTTCCAGGCAAAGCTAAGGTAGAAAGGGAGGGTCGGCACATCACGCTAGTGTGCGCTGGACGAGGCACCGACACCGCGCTCAAGGCCGCTGAACAACTGGCTGGAAGCAAGGGTACGTCTGAAGATACATCATTCACCAACTCAAAACTGACACGCGTCGGATATGACAGCTGTCAATTGCAAATTCATTGCATTGTTTATTTTTTCATAAAAAACTGAAGCCCAAAAACTAAAAAATAAAAGTTCAGAATTCGGAAAACATCTTACTTCATATTAAAACTAGGGTGCTGCTGCAAAATTTCACAACTTGTTGTACCTATTTAAATGTATTTTAAATTTATTTTTCATAAAAACGGATTTAATTTCATTGTATAATTCACCATAATATGTTGTTGTATCCAGTATACTAATCTATTGTAGTTTTGTAATCAATGACAAATAATTTAGCAGCAGCTTTATTTAAAAGAACAGATTCTGAATTGGGATGAACCATGTTCAGTAAGTCATTATTAAAGTCCTCTGAAACTCCTTTGTCCATAATTTAAACTCCAGTATGTTGCACTAAATATATTTGTACATTTTTCAGGTATAGAATGTGAAGTAGTAAATCTAAGAACAATAAGGCCAATGGATTTCGACACGATCGCTCGGTCCATTGCCAAAACACATCATCTCATTACTGTAGAACAAGGATGGCCGCAATCTGGTAAGGATTTATGGACAATAACATTAAAAGGCTCAGTACAAACGTTGGGTGTTTGAGCCAGATAATAAATGGAAAAACGTATTCTGCTACTGCTGCACTTTAACAAAGCATCTATTCAATGTGCACACTACTAGACATGTCCTTTGTATGACGGCCCCGGTGGCGCACCACTCGGCACCTGACGTGCGGGGCCCACTTGTGTTCTGCTGTGAAGGGCTCAACAATCAATACAATGCAATTGAGAAGTTGACTACATATCTCAAAGGGGCGACATTCATTTGGTAATGTCTATTAGCTCCAGTGAGGACATAATATGATATTAGAGAATATCGCCCCTATTAAAACACGCACTATAACTGCAATAGAAATCAGCTGATGTGTGGCATTCAAGGCTTCGTTTGGCATTTGCGTAAGCTTTAGATTATATTATTAACTTGAAAGCTACAAAATACTTGACTGACCACGATATGTGGCAGGATAGCGGGATTAGTGTTGAATAACGTGTATTGTTCCAGGAATCGGTGCAGAGATCTGCGCCCGCGTCATGGAGTCGCCGTCGTTCTTCGAGCTGGACGCGCCAGTGTGGCGAGTGTGCGGCGCCGACGTGCCCATGCCCTACGCCAGGACGCTCGAGGCGCACGCGGTGCCCGGACCCGCCGACGTGGTAGACGCCGTCACCAGCGTGCTCGGCAACAAGTCAGTATAGCTCTCCTCTCAACTACTATGTTGTGCTGGGGAACAAGTCAGTGTTGTTCCATGCTGGGGAGCAAGTTAGTGCTGCTCCATGCTGGGTAGCAAGTTAGTGCTGCTTCATGCTGGGGAGCAAGTTAGTGCTGCTCCATGCTGGGTAGCAAGTTAGTGCTGCTTCATGCTGGGGAGCAAGTTAGTGCTGCTCCATGCTAGGTAGCAAGTTAGTGCTGCTTCATGCTGGGGAGCAAGTTAGTGCTGCTCCATGCTGGGTAGCAAGTTAGTGCTGCTTCATGCTGGGGAGCAAGTTAGTGCTGCTCCATGCTGGGTAGCAAGTTAGTGCTGCTTCATGCTGGGGAGCAAGTTAGTGCTGCTCCATGCTGGGTAGCAAGTTAGTGCTGCTTCATGCTTGGGAGCAAGTTAGTGTTGCTCCATGCTGGGAAGCTTGGGTGAGAGGTTACGGCGCAAATGTGTAGTGATGTCTGTTGCTATTGTTAGGAAGCAAGAGTGTTGTGCACTGTGGTGTTTACTGAATAATGTAGATAAAACCAAAAAATGCTTCGTTGTTTCAGAATCAGTGCAGTGCAAGCCCAGTAGAACAGGGAATCTCCACAAGCAAATATAAATTAATAATGTTCGGATAATCTGTACATATTTTATTTATTTCTACATGGTGCATTGAATGAAAAGCAAAGAAGTCGTAACTTGATTGCTATTGTGATTTAACTATACATTTATATTGAGATTAGAATTTAATAATTTTATTAAAGATACTATTTGTTGAACAAAAAGATGTATGATTTGAAAAAAGTGGGTCGTTATATTAATTATTATTGTATTGATGATAAAGTGAACGTGCGTTCCTGTTGTAAGTTGATACATGAATCGAATGCTATTGGTATTTATTTTATTTGGTATTGCGATTATATATTAATTCGAGCTGCGAGGCGGCTTTCATGCGTCACGCTATGCAATTATCGCTTGTGTGTAATATTACAGATGCGTTAGCAAACCAAAATGGCGAAAAACGCCATCTGTTTATCGTCATATGCACTAATCGTTTGAAAAGTTCTTAAGTCAACCCATAGATGGCGTGAGTTCGACGAGCGAACTGGCCCACGGACACAACCCACTGAGTTTCTCGCCAGCTTTTAGGCTTCGAACGAATAGATAGGGCAAAAAAGGCGTTACAGCTCTTTGTAATAAAATTGAGAGTGAATCTTATTTTCTTAAATTCCACTATCAAATGAGCACTTGACACCAAGAACCTGCGCTAATACTAATAGTAAAGAAAGTTTCACAATACATTTTTTGTAGTGTCAAAAATAGTTTCATTCTAAACCAGGGGCTCCCAAACAGATTTTGACTACTGCCCACTTAGAGAATAAATTATTTTTTAGCACCCCCATTTTTTCACCTATGTACTTAAACTTTAGGAAAGGCTGTTCTAAACAAAGACCTGAATCAAACAAAGCACGGCGGTCCGTAGCGTCACGCCAACAGCGCTGCGCCCTTGTTACGTGACAATTTATCTAAGGACAATTTGACCGCCACAATACAAAGATGGCTTCACCAATAAGTGCACCCAAAGCCGCCTCCAAAACACATAAAAAACCTACCGATCTATGTTCCAGGTATAATTGTTTTATATTATGCGTATGTCTTCAGCACCTATGCGTAAGTTTTAATATAGATGACAATTCAAGCTTCGTGGGTAACTTCAAAATATTCCAATACTATTTTTAATAGGACCACTAAACATACCTACATAAAACACAAATACTACAATCCGGTGTCGGCTTCATTCATAAAACATCCAAGGTAATGTGATTCTCTAATGGCCGACGCACGAGCGAGGTGGGAAAGGAAGTCAAAAATATCCCATCAGCAAACCTACACAGCCTAGCATTATAGACAGGTCACAATAAAAAATTACGCATTAAATAAATTGCAACAAATCTTAACTATCCAACGAAAATACACAAAAACAATGATCACGAAACAATTTTGCTACACTTACAGTGGATAGTCAGTACCTACGTTCACAATCAGAGTTGCAACAGAGGGTCCACGATGTTGCTGTGAACACGTTGTGGGGATGGTGACAGTTTGATCGATGGTCACCATTCATGATTCGACTACAACACAACTAGAAATATCCCACGTGTAATTCGATTTTTTTTTCTTTTACTTACCTACTCACCTAATTGTAAATGTTTTCTATGTTTACTATAACATTTTATTCCTTTATAAATTTATTTTTCATATACACATATACTTGTCATATCGAAATGTGTAAGGCTATTTGGTTTAAGCGACATTTTTGCAACTACAGAGCTAAAGTGTGGAAAAAATATCATTACAAAAAAATCTTCAGCTATTTGAATAGAGTAAACTTAATTGAAGTTAAATTGAAAACATCAAACTGTTGATGATAATACCAAATAAAACGGACCTTCAATTACAAAGATAAATGTCGCGTATTTAGCGAAAGTTCACTTAAAATAAATAGCCTTCACCCCTGGATATATATTTTAAAACCGCATGTAGGTCTTCAGATACAAGCTGCGCTAAGTGCAAGGACCGCTGAGAAGTTGTATTTATATCACGAGTTTGTGGGAAATAAATATAATAAACTACATATATACCTACAGTAAAGCTTATTGCGAGCTCGGACGCTTAGATGACGACGAATTAAGGAGCAGGTCTGCCATCATACAATACAACTGAGGGTGGTGTTTGTTCTCGCGATGGTTACCGGTATTCATACTGCATTGTCTATTATGTAAATAATTCCGAGACGAGATCCCAAAAATTGCCGCTAAATTCTTCCACGTTACAACTTTTTTTTTAATTTATCTAAACTCCTGCAAAGGCAGACATCTCAATCCAGCCGTTGACACGTAGAGACGTCAATCTTAGAACGTATAATTTCTGCCTACCCTCATAAAATAAGTGATCGATCACTATACTGTCACGCGCCGAAATTCTTTTCATACTTAATAATAAAAGTGGATTCTCGTCAGCGGAGATATAATACGAGTTTTTTTTTCTACAATCGAGCATGTTCCCCCGTAATATTTTAACTGAATATATTTTATCATCATCGGTGTTTCCCGAGCGCTATGACATGTCCTTCTCCAAACGAGGCTTGTGGAGAGTATTAAGCGGTAGGTAGCGGCTTGGCTCGGCCCCTGGCATTGCTGAAGTCCATGGGCGACGGTAACCACTCACCATCAGGTGGGCTGTATACTCGTCAGCCTACAAGGGCAATAAAAAAAAACAATTCTTGTAACGAGCACGATTTCGTAGCAAACCATCAGTCAGTGAGGCGATCTACGTAAAATAAAACTCCAGGCTGACTCCGGCGTATCTAGTATGAAGTAGCCGGATTTAGAGGTTTGGAGGCCTCGGGGCAACAGCGGAGTGGAGCCCAGGGCCCAAATTATTTTCCAAATAAAATGAATACATTTTTTTCAGTCGAGTTTTCCAATAAATAATTTATTGTGAAACCACGTAGATTCTCTTCGTATTTAACAAATATACATAAATATAATTGGAGACAAGAATTATCTCAACTAACCCCGAAGTTAATAGTTGCTAAACCTATTACTGGATTATTTGATAAATTTAATACAGGGTGGCCCATAAGTCCTTTGAAAAGTAAAATTTGAATAAAACGAACAGGGCGCGCGTGAGCGGTGCAGGGGAAGCGGGGGGAGTAACTTCGGTTTCTGGGAATTTAGTCGCGATGGAGCGTTTTACCGGAGCGGACCGTGCGTTTTGTGTGCGCGAGTTTTATAAAAACGACAATTCGGCAACCGTTGCGCGGCGTAAATTTCGAGAACACAAAGGTTTACACAACTTTGACGACACTCCAACTCTTCAAACGATTAAGAACTGGGTTGCTAAGTTCGAGGAGACCGGTTCGACGTTAGATAAACCGCGGTTGGGTCGCCCAAGGACGTCACGTACGGAACAAAACATAGACACAGTGACACAGTCTATTCGCGAAAATCCGACACAGTCAACTCGTAAGCGCGCCAGAGCATTAAACGTATCCAGGACATCGTTACAACGGATTTTGAAGAAAGATTTACATATGCACCCTTACAAAATTCAGTTGGTTCAAGAATTAAAGGAAACTGACGGTATTCAAAGACAAAATTATGCGAATGAAATGTTGAATCGGTTTACTTCCTTCAATAACATAATGTTCTCTGACGAGGCTCATTTCCATCTTAACGGGCATGTTAGTAAACAAAATTGCCGCTATTGGAGCCCCATCAATCCAAAACTTAAGCATCAGAAGCCCTTACATAGTCCGAAAGTGACTGTTTGGGCCGCTATGTCAGCCCATGGTATCCTAGGGCCTTACTTCTTTGAGGATGGCAGAGGGCGCGCAGTTACTGTTACGTCGGAGCGATATGTGGCTATGATCGAAGAGTTTTTCATACCAGAATTGCAAAACTTTTCAGGCTTTAATGCCAGGACGTGGTTTCAACAGGATGGGGCCACTTCTCACACCTCTAACACTGCTATGCCCGTTATCCGTCAACTTTTTCCTGGCAAAGTTATCTCTAAGAGAGGAGACATTTCCTGGCCTCCACGTAGTCCAGATCTGACCCCGATGGATTTTTTTTTGTGGGGCTACCTTAAGGCTAAAGTATACGACACAAACCCGCGGTCAATTGAGGCCCTAAAAGAAAACATCCGCAGAGAAATGACAAGCATTTCAGCAGTGACGTGCCGCGCAGTCATCGACAATTTTAGACGTCGTTTGCAAGAGTGCCGTGATCGCAACGGATTACATTTAGGAGATGTTATTTTCAAAAAATAATTCCCGTTTTTTAAGCTTTTTATGTAAATAAAAATTTAATTCATAATGTAATTAGTTTTATTTTAATAATTTTTTTTTCATATCAAAGGACTTATGGGCCACCCTGTATAACTGAATTAGAATCATAGCGCGAATATCGAGACGACTTTGAACTACAATACTAATAGAATCAGTGTCACCAGAAAGCCTTCTCGTTTGCATCCCTTTAAAAAAAACTGCAAATTAGCATGTAATTGCTAAAGTTAATAATTAAACTTATTATCAATAGATGAAACAGTCTAGCACGTTTGTAACTGCATCTTTACTCGCCTTCATCTCCATTTTTAAGTTACTTATTTAGTCATCGCCGATTTAGCGGTGTATTTTTTCCCCTACTTATTCGCTGGTATCCTAACGGCGTATTTTAGCTTCTCGCCGACGAGATAGTGTATAATAAATAAAACGTATAGTATCACGGTAACTAAATGATTATTTTAAACTTAAGCGTTGAAATTCGATAAAACCTCAAAAAAAATTATCCTCTAATGACGAAGCCTATTTTCAAAAATATTGATAATTTATATAGGCCTTGACTTCGTGTATCAGGTTCCTTGTTCAAATAGGGTAATTAAGAAAGTTAAATAAATTTATTTTTCAGTCCAAATAGAAAAACTGAACACAATTTTTTTTTATTGCTTAGATGGGTGGACGACCTCACAGCCCACCTGGTGTTAAGTTTTTACTGGAGCCCATAGACATCCACAACGTAAATGCGCCACCCACCTTGAGATAAAAGTTCTAAGGTATCAAGTATAGTTACAACGGCTGTCCCGCCCTTCAAACCTAAACGCACTACTGTTTCACGGCAGAAATAGGCAGGGTAGTTGTACCTACCCGCGCGGACTCAAGAGGTCCTACCACCAGTAATTACGCAAATTATAATTTTGCGGGTTGATTTTTATTACACGATGT